GGAAGCAAATTAAAAATTTAACATTCTGTTCTGTTGTGAGAATTAGCCTATTTGGAAACGTTTCAAAATGTAAGGAATTTAATTAAAATGTATTTTTATTAATGTAATAATTTACTGAATTATTTAATATTAATTAGAGATTATAATAAAATCTCAAGGCACAGGTCTTCTCTTATTTCTTAGTGGGTTATGGAGCAGATAGTCTGCACTACTGCAGTGCGTAGTGTAATAGTGCACTTCACATCATAATTTTTTTTATTTCTCACTGTTACGGATCGCCGTAACGCCGTTCGAAAAATGAATAAAAACGCGCTGGTCTTGCTTAAACTGGAGGCAAGCGGCGGTGAGGAGGAACTTTTACTTTTTCTTTTCTTGCTGTCTTCTTTTCGGTGGCTGGAGAGCGACTGCCGACCGCTCCGGTCGGCCCGTCTTATATATGATTTGGCCGTTGCTGGCCAGCGGACCCTTGCCTCACCCCCGCGCCTTCCTTTCTTAAACTAATACGTACATAACAATTTTTCTATATACTAAAAGTTAAAACGTTGTTTTTTAGCAACTTTGAGCTGAGGACCCTGCCCCCGCCTCAGTACTATAAATATAAAACGTAGTGGCGCGGCGCGCGTAGCCTCATTCGCTCCGCGGCCGCGTCACGGTAACATGCCCTGTTTATTATTCGTGCCTAATGGCTTAATATATAAGAAATTAAATTGTACTATATAAAGGAATACAATTTACATACAATAATTACATTACAATTTTACATTAATTGATTTCTACATTCAAATCTATGTTAACTCTCGCTATTCGTTCGCTGCCTTTATTGGGAGAGTTTATTACATAGTTACAATACTATTTATTAAAATATAAAGCTTTATTTTCCAATATTCTTGTTACGAATTTTCCCGCGTTGCTGTGTGCAACCACCGCTAGTTGTTGAACCGTGAGCGCGGCCCGACGATCGTAACACCCTCATGGCTCCGCCCACCGCCCCTAGGTTGTTCAACTAGCGTTGGTTACGACAAGCGTTTAGGAAGTTCGACGTATCACTTTGTTTGCGTCGTGCATATTCTCCCACCGTCGCCACGCTGCGATCCCTTTGGTAGCACGACGATCTTCTTTATCGGTCTTCGTAGTACATGCCCACAGCCAGTGGTTACGTCCACTACTCGTACCTCTCCGTCAACGCCAGGATATACGTTGCTGATTTTTCCCCTGGGCCAGTAGTTGCGTGGTAGATTGGAGTCACAAATGATGACTAGGCCTCCAATCTTCGGTGATACGCCTATGCTGCTGGGATCCCGCCGATGTTGGAGTAGGGGCAGGTATTCTTTCACCCATCTTCTCCAAAACACGTCGGCTAGGGCTTGAGCTCGTTTTCACTGCTGGCGGGCCGTCACATCGCTCTCGCTGAAGTGTCCCGGCGCAGGTACGTGCGAGTTGGGACCGATGATGATGTGATTCGGCGTGATGGCTTCTGGGTCTCCTGGGTCGACTGAGACGTGTGTGAGAGGTCTTGAGTTGACCGTGTTTTCGACCTCGGCGAGCAGGGTCACCAATGTCTCGTCACTGAGATAGCGCTCGTTGAGTGTGACGCGTAGACCTTCTTTCACGGAGCGAACCATTCGCTCCCATGCGCCGCCCATGAACGGTGCTGATGGAGGTATGTACTTCTACACAATTTGTCGACATGTGGTTTCGTGCTCAAGGGCTGCGAGTGCTGCTTCGGCCAGCTCCTTGTCTGCTGCCTTGAAGCACGTAGCGTTGTCACTCCATATTTCTTTTGGGCATCCTCTTCTGCTCATAAAACGCCTGAGCGCCGACTCAGCCGTGTCGGCGCTCACTTAACGAGTGAGCTACCTCTATGTGTATCGCTTGCGATGTCATGCAGGTGAATAACGCGCCATAGCGCTTTTCACGATGTCGTCCCACTGTGACCTCTATTGGCCCGAAGTAGTCCAGTCCGGTGTATGTGAACGGACGTGCGTGATGAGCGAGGCGTGCGGACGGCAGGTTTCCTGTAGATGGTGATGCAGGCTTGGCTTTTCTTAAACAGCACGGTAGGCAGCTTTTGACGACAGTTTTCACCACTGGACGTATTTTTCTTATGTACAATCTCTGTCTTAATTCGTTCACGACTGTTTCCACGCCTCCGTGATGCAACCTCTCGTGTACGTGTGCTATGTACAGACGAGTGTATGCGTGCTTCCCGTCTAGTATGGGAGGGTCGTACGTGTCCTCCTCCACTACTGTTGCTGCTTTTATTCGACCTCTGAGGCGTAGGGTCCCCTCTTCATCGACGTATGTGCTCAGGTGGCCTAATTTGACGTCACCTCCCGGAACACTTCCGTTGGTGATCCTCTTGAGCTCCTTCGTGAAGTTTTCCCGCTGACTGGCTTGCACCCACAGTTGTTCGGCTCTTACGTGATAAGCGGCCGGTATTCCTCAAAGGGATGAGACAGTAGGAGTTTCCTTTTTCTCCTTGGCGGGTATGTTGCGTTTGTTTGTTCTTTGCCAGCCAGGGTCGCTATCTTGTCTTGCTGTGTTGCGTTTACGTCCAGCCTTCACCACGTGCTTGTTTGGTCTGCACGTGTCGATGAATAGGAGGACTCTCGCTGTCGCTCTTATGAGGCGAAACCATTTTGAAAATCTTTCTATTTGTGGCAGATGTGTTGTTGGCGAGTCTTCCCTTTTAACTGCGATGTTACATACTTCTCGTTCTTCCCCGGTGTCGTATTGTGTCGTTTTCTCTTCCTGCGGCCATTCTGCTAGTGGACGTTGTAGAAACGGGGGCCCTCGGAACCACCGGTGCGACTCGTCGAACCTTTCTGGCGTGGATCGGGTCGCGTTGTCTGCCACGTTTTCTGTAGACGGTAGCCAACGCCATTCATTCTTTTTGGTCGTATCTTCTATCTCCGCCAGGCGATGAGCGACGAAAGCTTTGTACGCGCGAGGCTCCGACCTTATCCACACTAGTACAGTACGAGAGACGCACCAGCTTGTCTTGCCCGCTATATCGCCATCGTGCTCCTCGACCACGGTCTGCGCGAGACGAGCTCCCAGCAGTGCCGCTTGTAACTCGAGCCGTGGTATGGAGACTGGATTCAGTGGTGTTACGCGGCTCTTGGCGGCAGCCAATGATATATTTACGCTGCCGTCTGCTCGCTCCGTTCTCCAATACACTGCTGCTGCGTAGGCCTCCTCGCTTGCGTCGACGAATGTGTGTAGTTGGCGCGTCGACACCGGGTTGTAATCGTAGCATCGCGGTATTCTCAGTTGTTTTATGGCGTTAAGTGAAGTAGTCCAATCTTCCCATTTTTCTTTTAACTCTGTGGGCAGAAAATCGTCCCAGTCCGCCTTGTAACGCCATGTGTCTTGGAATTTTCTCTTCGCTGGGGTGGTCACTGGTGATATTAATCCCAGCGGATCCAATAATGCCATTATGATGCTCAACGCTTCACGTTCAGTTGGCAAGCGTAGTTTTTCTTTTACGTCGGCAGGCATCTTCATATTGTGAGTATTAAATCCAATATGATCGCTTTGTACATGCCAGAGCAGGCCGAGCGTCTTCTCAGTTTCTTTTCCGCCCAGGCACACGGTCACGTCGTGTTGTTTATGCTTTGTCGTTATTTCTTCTATTGTTTTCTCTTCGTTCGATGTCCACCCGCTGAGTACGAATCCCGCTTGTTTGTGGACGTGATCGACTGCTTTTACCGTTTGCTGAGCTTCCGTGACAGAGTGAAAGCTCTGCAAGTAGTCGTCCATATAGTGATTTCTTTTTATGGCGACCGCAGCTTCTGGGTATGCCTCTGCATGTTCTTCAGCATTTTTATTTTTGATGTATAATGCTGTGCATGGTGATGACGTCACTCCAAAGATGATTGACGTCATCCTATATTCTTCCGGTTGGTCCTCCCGCCGCTTGCCTCTCCACAAGAAACGTAAAACGTCTCTATCTTCTTTGCGCACTGTGATCTGCATGAACATTTCTTTTATGTCGGCGCTCACTGCATACGGATACTGTCGGAACCTCATAATTACTCCGGGCAATGATTGTAATGCGGCTTGTCTGGTTTCGCAGGGTTGATGACTGGGAAGTGTGGCAGATACCATGTCCTTCCTTGTGGCGGTGTCATGGGCGCGCGCTCTGCGTAACCCAAGTTGAAAAGGTTCTGTATGCGTTCGTCGTAGTGTAGCTTGAGATTGCTGTCTCGGTCAAGCCTCTTCTCTAAGGTGTGCAGGCGCCTTTCCGCGTCCTTGTAATTATTTGGTATTTGGAAATCCTTTTGTTTCCACAACAACACTGTCTCGAATCTGCCGTCCGCCGACCTCTGGCTGGTTTCCCTCAATATTTGCATAGCTCGCTGCTCGGGATCTTCTTGGCTCGATGCACAGTGATTCTAATTTGAAATAATTTTTTATTTCCTCTTCTATTGGCTGTGTATCTTCCCTCTGATGTAGTCTGCCGCAGAAGGTGACCGTCGACGTCAGAGAACTATGACAGCCATGCAGAACGATGAAAAGAATTTCAAACGTGTGATTAATCAATTAGATAAAAATAAATCGCCGGGAACTGATCTCGTACGGATGTCAGACTTAAAGTTAGTTGTTGACAAAGTAAGTCCCGTCATAGCTAATATAGTTAACATGTCGGTAAAGCAACATAGGTTTCCGAATAAATTAAAAGAAGCCATAATTCGTCCAGTCCATAAAAAGGGTGATCGAAAAGTTTTTTCAAACTATAGACCAATTGCTATATTATCAAGTATTGACAAAATTATCGAGAAATGCATAACAAATCAACTAGGGTTTTATTTGCAAAAAAATAACATATTAAATGAATGTCAGCACGGTTTTCAGAGGGGCAAAAGCACTAATACTTTATTATCAAAATTCACTGATGAAATTAATTCGAATTTAGAAAATAAAAAATTTGTTGTTGCTATTTTTACGATTTCAAAAAAGCATTTGATACCTTAGATACAGAAACACTTTTAAATGGAATGGACGAATGTGGCGTGGGACAGCCGCTAAACCAGTGGTTCCGTGACTATCTCACATCGCGCATTTTCCGTGTAAAGGTTGGTGACACGCTTAGTGAGGCGCATGAGGTGAAATGCGGGGTGCCACAAGGTTCGGGGTGTGGGCCTATTTGCTACTTACTACATGTTAATAGCCTATGTGACGTTCTTCAGTATTCCTCTGCATACATGTTCGCAGATGACCTATGTACACTACGGGCTGGTACCAATCTAGTGGAGACGTGTCACCTAATACAGCAAGATATAGATTCGGTAGTTAAATGGTCTCATGATAATGGCATCGTCTTAAACTCAGATAAAACCAAGTTTCTTATCATTCAGTCACCTTATATGTGTTATACTGACTCGTCTCCTCAAATGTATAGTCATAACTTTGAATGCCTCCATAATGGTCAGAATAGTTGTCAATGTGAGCCTATCAAAAAAGTCGATTGTGTAACCTACCTCGGTGTTAAAGTTGATACTAACTTCTCGTGGTCCAGCCATGTAGATTATATTTGTAATAAGTTAAGATTACTTCTAAGCAAATTTTATCACTTAAGCTTTAAAGTTCCTTCTGCTACTTTAAAATGCTTATATTTTTCATTGGTAGATTCGATTTTGGGATACGCCCTTGACAGTTACGGTCTTACATTCAAAATCTACATTGATAAGCTTGAAGCACTACAAATTAGATTTTTAAAGTTACTAGTTAATAAAAAAACTAAAGATATCTGTAAAGGTGATTACACAAAATTGTTCAAAATCTGCAAAATACTTCCAGTAAGTTTAAAACATAAGTATTTACTTGCCTTAAATAATTACAACTGTCGAGAACGTACTCTAATACTAGTTAAGCATGGTCAGGGTACACGGTCGATATCTGCAGGCAAATTTGTAGTACCTAAAGTAAATAATTACTACGGGGACAGAACTTTAAAGAAACGTCTACCGTACTTTCTCAATACACTACCTGAGGATATTCGACGTGAACCAGTAAAAAACATATTTAAAAACAAATTAAAGCAATACTTATTGGCTAGTCTTAGTGCTTAACTTTAACATTATTATGTAAATGAGACTCAAATGTTCCTGCAGATAAACTGCGTAAGCAGTTTTGCGGGAATATGCATATTAAAAAACCAAACTTTGTACATTTAATAATAAATAAATAAAAAAAAAAAAAAAAAAAAAACCCAGCCCAGGTTGGTGTGTGAGGCGACTGGTTGGTTTCGATGACCGACGCGCAGTTTTCTAGACACTATGAGGTGCCAGTTATCTTGTCCGATTAGTATTTTCGGTGAGGCGCGTTCGTAGGTGATATCTTTTTTGATATCCAACAGATGTTGGCAATTCACTAAGTGATTTTCATTCACCGATTCTGGCGCGAAGTCCAACCGCTCTACCGTACTCGCTGCTTCTATGCTGTGTTCCTCTTGCGCGTACTTTCCTCTTATTTTAAGACTGACGGTCTTGCTCTTCTCATGTTTCACCTCCGAGCCGACCCCTTGTATCCACATTGCGTGGGCTGGGCCGTTGGCGCCGATGACGTCGGCGATCGAGACATCGACTAAGGTGACCGTGCTTCCTTCATCCAATAATGCGTATGTTTCGACGCAGCTTAGCGGCCCCCTTATTGTTACGGGCGCAGTCTTTAGATAAGCGCGGCGGTGTTTGTACGGTTGAGTCTCTGTGATGACCTCCCTTGCCGATGTTGCGGTTTCCATAGCGGGTTCCTTTTCAATTTCTGCTGTTCTTTCGTGATGCAGCAATTTATGGTGTTTCATCATGCATCCGCCTTTTCTGCACGGTGGAGCTTTACACAGCAAACGGCGATGTTTGCCTCGCAGACAGCGGTAGCAGATATTATTCTTCTTTGCTACTTCCGATCTGTCACTTGTGGACAGAGCGGCGTATGACTTGCAATCGGGCAGTTTGTGTTGTTGTTTGCATTGAGGGCAGCGTTCTTCATATTGTTTCTTGCTTGTGGCGAAGGCACGTTCTAATTTTCTCGGTCTTCGCTCTCTCGTCTCGCTTTCCTCTGCTATGAACTCCGGCAAGGCATACGCGCTGCATTTGTCCGCTTCTTCGTTTAAGAACATTGATATCTTCTTAAGCTCTGGGATATCTTCTTTCTTTCTGGCTGCATAGTTGTACCATTTGCATCTCAATATGGGAGTGAGTTTGTCTGTGATAACTCGCGTCATTTCCGCACTATGCAGATAGTGTGCTTTCTTGAGTGCATCCACGGTGCCCACTACGTTTGCTATGCGATTTGCGAATATGCATAGCTCCCTGGGATTGTCCGTAACTTTGTTCAGCAGCTTCAGCTTCTCTATTTCTAAGTGAAATAACGCTTCTGGTCATCCGAATCTCCTTTTCAAAGCTTCCATTATCAGGCTGGGATCTGGTTGGCTTATAAGTAGGCAACCTGTGGCTTCTTTTGCTGTCCCTTTTAAGCTTCGGCGTATTCCCGCTATGTTTTCGTTCATCGTGAAGTACTTTGAAGATTCTTCGTACGTTGTTTTGAAGCTGAGCCATTCTTTGCTGCTACCATTGAATGTAGGTAGCTCTTGCACATTTTTCGGCGGCTCCCTTGTGCTTCGTACTGCTTTTGATAGAGCAGCGGCTAAGGTAGCGACGTCGATTTGTTGCTGCGCCTGTCCATAGTCTTCTTTCTGCGGCGCGGGTTGTGATGTAAACTGCGGAGCGGGTTGCGATGCGAAGTGCGGCGTGAGGTGCGATGTAGACTGCGGAGCGGGTTGCGATACGAAGTGGGTTGCGGCGCTGGTTGCGATGTAGGTTTTTCTTGCAACCATGTACTAATGCGTACTGATGCTAAATCGTTTTCTATTTCTTCATCTTCGTCATCGGTTGATCTGACTTCTGCTTGTAGTCGCTGCACGTGTATTTCTTGCAATTCCGTTCTTGCTTGCAACTGAGCCTGCTCGAGCTTGAGTTCGGCTAACCGCTCTTTCGCCTCTAACTCCGCGAGGAGTCTCTTGCGGGAGGCTACGGAGCGGCGCGACCTAGTCTCGTCGGGCCTTAGTGTGCGCTGCGATCTTCGATCATTCTCTTGCTGGGTTTCTTCCGTTGCGGCCGTGTTATCGGTCGCAGAGGTAGCGGTTGTATCGCTGACCGTTGTGATTTCGCTCGTGGTGTTGGATGTACCAGTAGCAGTTGAGTCGCCCCCGGAGGCCTCTTCTGTGGCCCCCTGGGTTATCTGTTCATCCTTGCGGCGCTTCGATGATTCTCCGTTGTTACTACACGTAATCACCATTTTTCTTCACAATAATATTTTTTCGTTCTTGCTGTTTGCTTCTTTCTTCCGGCAATACCAAGACCGATATTGTCTTTTTCTTCCAGTAATCCGGCTTCTCGAATGACCATTAATGTTACGGATCGCCGTAACGCCGTTCGAAAAATGAATAAAAACGCGCTGGTCTTGCTTAAACTGGAGGCAAGCGGCAGTGAGGAGGAACTTTTACTTTTTCTTTTCTTGCTGTCTTCTTTTCGGTGGCTGGAGAGCGACTGCCGACCGTTCTTTTTTTTTTTTGCGCCCGAAGCAATGGGAAAAGGGCTAATCTTTATTTAGGGAGGCGGAAATGCATTACGCATACCACGACAGCCGGTCTATCGTGGTTATGAGGGACTCACTGCCTACCGGGGGAACCTAAGTGATACCCTCTAAAACCGCCTTTGGGGACTGGCAACTAGCTGTTTAAAGCTTCTTATGCCGTATCGGAAGCGACCCTCTTTTGGGAAAAGAGGGCGCAGGCGGCTATTAGCCGCTGAGGGAGTGCCTGGGAAGGCAAATTAATTATGAATAACTTAATTAGAATTGGCCTGAGCCGCCAGGAGGCAGTTCAGCTCGTTTGAAAGTTTATTGTCCGATAAAGACCGATATTGTCTTTTTCTTCCAGTAATCCGGCTTCTCGAATGACCATTAATGTTACGGATCGCCGTAACGCCGTTCGAAAAATGAATAAAAACGCGCTGGTCTTGCTTAAACTGGAGGCAAGCGGCAGTGAGGAGGAACTTTTACTTTTTCTTTTCTTGCTGTCTTCTTTTCGGTGGCTGGAGAGCGACTGCCGACCGTTCCGGCCGGCCCGTCTTATATATGATTTGGCCGTTGCTGGCCAGCGGACCCTTCCCTCAGCCCCCCGCCTTTCATTATTGGTTAAATTTCTTAAAAACTAACGAACAGACTTAAATATATAATATGCTTACAACTACTTATTAAACTAATTAATTAGATTAGAGATTCGGTTGTCTGCGCTCAAGCCACGCGGACGTATTCTTCGGTCGAGCCCATGCGCTCCCGAATTACTAAGTTGCAATTGTGCGAAGAAAAGACAATAAAAGGATTATCCTCGAAGTGCTTCAGTGGTGTTGTGCGTCATTGCCGCCGTCAGGTTGCACCGGCCCGCCGGCCCATTGTTCTTTTGTGTTAGTGATTAGTGTAGTGCCCCACGCTCTGCCAATTTCCAGTAAAAACTGTAAGTAGTTTATTACACACCGCCGTGCCGCCTCAGAGGCGGCTATTGTATTGTTATTGTATTAATCTCTGTGTTCGCTTGTCGCATTAGGCGACAGCTAGGTACACACCCTAACGTACCAACGCGTTAGGTATATAGGTGTTCGTTTAAGCACACACCTCCCCCGCCATGAGGTGGGGGAGCTTGGTACACAAGTGTTTTTATAAAACTCTGACAAGATGGCGGCTATAACAATAGCCGAACTCGCCGACTTTTTCAGTCTTGCGTGCCCCGACGTTTGGGCGAGCTTTCTAGCTCAACGCCAAACGCCCGCTGCTGAACGTCCGACCGTGTTTGTGGACGACCCTATGTCGCCCAGCACCGGACCCGCGACCCCCGCGTCCGTAGAAACGCGTTACGACGTAGGATCCCCCGCGCCTTCTGCGCTCTCCACTCGTGGGCCGTCGCCGGCGTTCTCGGACGCCGAGACGGGCTCCGAAATGGAGTTCTACGTCGCGAAACCCGCCATGCCCGATGACGAAGGCTTCACCGTAGTCTCGGGCAAGAAACGAAAACGTCCCGCCGCGAAAAAGGGCGCCGAGCCTCACTCGGCCCTTCGTCCCCGTCGTCGTCACCTAACGCCACTCCGGCTAAAAAGACCGCGCCTTCAGCGCGCCCTAAAATCGCCAAAATCGCGAACTCTGAACCCGCCGCGGTGCGCAAGGAAAAACCGCCGCCGCCGATCATCCTTCAGGATAAATCCCGATGGAGCAACCTTTCGCATTGGATTGACTCCAAAAAAATCTTCTGCCCAAAGGTCCACAATGGTGGCCAGGGCATACGCATCCACGTCTCAACGACGGATGACTTCCGCGCTTTAACTGCGCATCTTAAAGCTCAGAAACTGAGCTTCCATACTTACGCCCTTGCGGAAGAACGCAACCTCCGCGTAGTCGTTCGCGGGCTCCCTAAGGAGCTCGAAACCGAGCACATTTTAAGCGATCTTAAATCGCAGAATCTCCCGGTTAGGGAAGTGCACAGAATGCACCACCCCACCGACAAAAAAAGATACCTAGACCTTTGTCTAGTTATCTTAGACCTGTCCCCGGAAGGGAAAGAAATTTACAATATTCGCCGAATCTGTAATCTCACTGGGATTACGGTAGAGGCCCCCCGTAATAGGGGCATCGTTGGTCAATGCCACCGATGCCAACTGTATGGCCACTCGGCCAAAAATTGCTATGCCAAACCTAGATGCGTTAAGTGTCTAGGAGACCACGGCACACCCGAGTGCACCCGAACGCCCGAGTCGGAAGGCCCTCCGAGCTGCGTTCTGTGCGGCGAAGCGGGACACCCAGCGAACTATCGCGGGTGTACCAAAGCGCCGCGTAGAAAGTGGCGCGGAGGCGCAAACCGGCGCGGACGAGCGGCTAGCGCTAGTAGGTCTCGTCCTAGGCAACATGCCCCTTCATTAGCACCGATCTCGGTGTCTCAACCCGCGCCCCCTCACCCTCACACCAAACCCGCCCCCGCTAAAGGGTCTTCCGGGCAAGGTGTAAGCTCGTCGGTGCCTTCAGC